AAAAATGATATTTTGAATTCTTGTTGAAAACAGCAAGTCCCATTGTATTGATACTATGCATATTGTTCATTTTCTAATGATATCTTCTGTTCTTTAATTGAAATGTGCATTGCTAACAGCGAAGCTATCTTAGCCGACAGGCTGCTTGTTGATATTCCAATTGAATAACTATAAAATTACTTTGTATTGCAGGATAATCAGGCAATCTGGAGCTTCAACTCTTGTTGCTATGTATATTGTTGGTGTCTATAGCAACAAACAAATTCTAGGATTTGGTGAGTGTAAATAATATACACATGCATTGTCTTTTCTGAATGTACTGAAGTTATCACAACCTCTTTACGATTTACATAATGTTTTTGTCATTTTGTTTTGAGGTTCATCAAATATAACTGCTTGGTGATTAACTTTTTGCCATGGCAACATTATCTGAAATGCATTCACAACCAATTTTCAAACAGACAATTAATATGGCCATCTGACAGCCATGTTTGTGATTAGTGCAGTATTGTTGAAATGTTACCTACATAATATTATGTTGTTCATTCTAATGACTGTAGCTCATAGCGGTATCCAGTACCAAATACTACAATAACCCTTTGGGTCTCAGCATTTTTCCTGACAAAATTTTGTGATTTTATTTATACAATTTCTTTGAAAACTTTTGACCAGATGGACGTACCCAATTTACTATCGATTACAAGTCTTCATCAAAGTTAACTTCCGCATTAAAGTAGCCATGCAAAGATCAGATACATAGTTCAATGTATCGGTATGATTGCAGTATCAAGAGTGTGACCCTCAGAATTCTGAGATGCCTATAAATACCATACAGGGACTAGATCATTTATAAGTACATTTTTCATTTTCAACAGCTCCTGGTGTTTCTTTACTTGAAGCTGAAGAAGAGGCAGCCAGAGTAGCACTAAAAAACATCTACGAAACCAACCCTGAGACGTGTGCACCATTGTATATTGATGGATCAAGAGGCAAGGTTTATCACAATGTTGCTATGAAACGGTTACAAGATAACAATATTTTGTTACAATTGAAAGGTGATAACTTGAAAATGGAAGCGCAAGGCGAGAAAATGAGCATTTGAAAGCCGACAACTGGGAGATTTTTGTTTTCATTGTAACCCATGCTTGACATTGTGTTTTAGGGATTTTTTTCATGAACAATTCTTTTTGCTCACTGTATTGTTCCAGGCATGAGTGGTTTTGGATGGTAGTGAATATTGTGTCCCTGTATTTCTGCTTACATGGCGCTAAATTAAATCTCCAAAATAAGGATGACCAATGTAACACCGTCTGACCTTCACTTTTGGTAATCCGATGGTAACTGATAATATTTATTTGTATAAGTGGAATGCGATGTGAGCTTGTCTCTTTTGAAAACCAGAAAGTTTTAAGTTGCCACACAACTGCTAACCATAGTAAGTAGCGAATTATCTGTAACTTGAATACAACACACTTGTTGATTTGGCCGTGACCATTTTTGAACATCCAGGGTCAGTACATTTGGTGTTCTGCAATAAGAAAAGACACTTTGTTTTGCTGGAAAGGACTTTGAAGGGCAAGGATAATCTGTAACAGGTGAAGTCATGTCTGCCATTCTGTGTTTATGGGTTGTCTGTTACAAAATGTCCACAGTCACACCTTTAGATTAAAACCAGACAAAGTATGTGTTAGCTGACCGATAGGATAGATACAGCATACCACATGTAGTACAACTTTATTTACTTTCATATAATGTATATACAAGAATAAATACATCTGATTGGGATATATTTTAGTTCGTTGTTTCTTTTCAAAAGTGAAATATACGTACCATACAACTTTTGTAAATTACATGTAACACCTAAATAGATTATTTTGACACTTTGAGACATTTTCAGGGGTGCTGGGTGGTAAAACTGACAATAAGGAAATCATATATATGAACCAAGTTATTTAAGGAAAAATATTCAATTATAGCGGTGATTGGGGCAATGTCTCCAGAGATGTTAAAATTGTCTCTTCCATATTCAAATTATTATTATATATGTACTGCAGTTTATTTTGATTTGTCCCTGAAATCAAAATCGGTATTTCCACAACCCATATGCAAATGAAGTCTGAGAGCAAACAAAGTAGTCCCTTCATGAGTACCGTTTTTTGGAATAAACAATATTTAGAAGTACGATATTTTCCCCTTGGGGTATATACTTGCCGAGTGAAATGAAATTTGAACAACAGTAATGGTACTTTTAGGCAGTGCTCGTGAAAGTACAGCAGAATACACCGCATCACTCGTGAAAATAACTTCCATATGCAACGAAAGCCACAGGGAGGGTGTGGGGTTCTGTCATACAACTGATGCAAGAAATATAGCTATATATAATATAGCTAAACAAAATACAAATAAATATTTTCTGTTGTAATTAATACATTTAGAAATGTAAATAGTTTGTAAAATATGGATACTGCAGTTGAACAGTTTTTGAATAGATATATCATATAATATGGGATGGTGAAGAATCTTGTTCTATTTCTGGTTGTACGACAATTTGTTGCATTGTGCGACGTTGTAGAAACTCTCGTAAATCAGCTTTATTCTTGGATTCTTCTTCCTTAATCCAATTCTGTAAATATATGGATGAAACAAACTTTTGTCTTATGGAGTCACTGGTACTTGGTATGTATGATGTCATATGCAAAATAATCAATAAAAGTGTTTTTTGGTAAAGAAACAATATATTTTACACATGAGTATATACTTCTGACAGAGCCCAATCCTGAACAAGGATATAATTTACCGTAACTTCATCTTTGTACATGATGTGACTCAAGTCTTGTTTAGTTGTACCTCTGGTACCACGAAAGTATATGGAATCCTATATATATATAAAAAAAAACTTATACTGGGGTAATATGAACTGTGTGAAAAACTATTCACTTCTGGTCAGCAGGATTATGCAGAGTTAGATGTCAAATATTTTACCATAACAGATTCAGTTTTGTACTTAACATGTTAATGTTGTGGGCACTTGAGTTACCTTATGAAATGTTTGTGAAATGCATACAAAGAAGTTCAAGAAATAAATTATAACATCATAGTATTTGTATGTACACTCGTAAAGACATCGAATGGGGGTGGCTAAATGCAAGCAATGTATATTCAACTTCTGAAAAAATTGAGGCAAACGAGTACTAAAAATGACTGCTATAAAATTGACACAGTATGTATATAAATGCAAGAACTAGGGATCACAAACTATTGTTTGACAGAATACTACAAATGGAAGAGTCTCTTCAGATGAATTTGGTGTAGGTGGGTGGTAGACTAAGAAGATATTCAAATGGAGCAAACCTGACTTGCAGGTAGCTATTTTGAATCAGCTCAAGAGGGAAAGCAGACTTATAATAGTACTTGACAAGGGCTATGCTCTCATTGGGTGACTGTGACTTTGTTTTAGCATGATTGTCATGTGATGGCCTCTCTTAACATTGTGACCAATGGATTGCAGTTACCTGACAAGAAGTATCAACCATTCCCTGATTCTTTATGATACTTGAATAAATGGTTAATTATAATAGTGAGAAAGCACATATTTTGTTTCATAGCTGTCTTCTTAAAAAACAGCTATGGAACAAAACAGCAACAACTATCAGTGTATTAGGCCACATTTTGTGTTCATTCTATATTCTGTATTCACCATTGCTGCAAATTGTCTTCATTGGTTATTCATATTTTTTTTTATTTTAAAGTATGGGATTTTATTTTCAGTTTCAGTTTATTTTCTTTCCTAAGGATTTTATGCATCTAATAAATATAAGCCTGCAGAGAGGAAGTTGAGTACCTGTGATAACATTTGCAATCTGATAGTATAGTTTCAGTTATGAAGGCAGCACATTGATTTTACACAAATATTAACTTACCACCTCAGTGAGCTTCCTGTGTAATAAATTCAGATGCCAGTCACTTTTGAAATTCTCAAAATTATTCTCTATATCATTTTTTGACATCATTACATCAACTTGAATCATTCTGTCTTCAAGACCTGAAAATAATTTGAGAGCATTCATGATGATGAAATTTTCATGGTTACCACAGTGAAATGTTTACTGCTACAATAATTTGTGACTCTGGAAATCAATTGGCATTTATATGCTTCCACCAAATAAAGCATACAACCTTTTGATTTATCACATATCTAACTTCCAAGTACAAAATGAATAGAAATGCTGTGACCCAAACCCCTATACCTCTATCTCCCTCTTCACCTAGGCAACGGCATTTGGAATATCAAACATGAAAAGGTTTTGACAGCATGAGGGAAATCTACAAACATTGTATAATCTTGTTTGTGAATGATCAAGGTTTGCTTTAGAAACAATAAATACAATTATTATCCCTCAAGTATGAGACAGTCCATGTTATTGGACAAAAGCAGTCACGTGATCTTTGATAAATACTGATATTGGCCTCTACCAGTCTATTTCTTGCCTCTGACATCATAATATTGAGGAAACCGATATTGTTGCAGGCAATAATTAAAACACTATGTAATGCGTTTCTCCACTGGGGTTAATCCTGCGTTTTGGTTCACAGTTTTACCTCACTTGACACATCATTCTCTTTTAGGAAAATAAAAGATTTCTTGCCCTTAGCTTTATCATTATTGTCTCCAAGTGGCTGTTAATGGTTTCTGCCTACAGCCAATGACCACCACTTGGGAATGATAATATTGGCCTAAGAGGAGGCAATAACTAGATTATTCTTTACTTACGATCCACTTCTTGTTTAACTGTCATTTTGTACTGCATTCGAAACAAGAATGCTTCTAATATAAATGCAACAATTATTGTCATGACAACCTAGTGAGAGATTGGAAATAAAATTGTATTTTATTTGTAGAAATTCAAACAAGCGTAAAATAACAGCAACATATCCTTGGGTGAAGTACCATCACACCTTATTGTCCCCAAAGATGACTATATCATGTCATGTCGGTCCCCCTAGGATGACTATATTCACACCAGTGTCATGTCAGTCCCCCTAGAATGACTATATTCACACCAGTGTCATGTCAGCCCCCCTAGGATGACTATATTCACATCAGTGTCATGTCAGTCCCCCTAGGATGACTATATTCACATCAGTGTTATGTCAGTCCCCCTAGGATGACTATATTCACACCAGTGTCATGTCAGTCCCCCTAGGATGACTATATTCACATCAGTGTTATGTCAGTCCCCCTAGGATGACTATATTCACACCAGTGTCATGTCAGCCCCCCTAGGATGACTATATTCACATCAGTGTCATGTCAGTCCCCC